TGTATAGTTTTGATACGTGTGATCATTGGCCGGAGTCATAATTTTTTTTAGTGGGTACAAAAAAAAATCTATAATATTTTCACATAAAAAATATTCTTTCTACAAAATACATAATCTCAAGACAAAAGAGATCCAAAATAATTATAAAGCAACACTATTGTTTTATAAGCTTCTAAAATATTTTTAATTTTTTTATATAAAATTTTAAATTATTTCTTAAAAAAGCTTCTTATGAAAAAAAACACTTAATTTTTATGGGACAAATTCTTCTAATTATAAATATTAATAAAAAAAAGTCTTGTGGGGCCAACAACCCCCATTCATATATTTGTGGATCCCCACTAGTAATGTGTCTGATGTTTATCCCCATTGAATATAAAATTCTTCATAGTTAATAATTCACATATATATATATATATATAAAATCGTTTTACTCTAACTTATCCTTGCATGTTTTCATGTGATGAACATAAACAGCCAAGAAATTTGAGAGTGAAAGAAGACAAGAGTAGAATATAGGAGAAGACAATGTAGATGAATAAGAACAAAGAATTGACTAGGACAAGAAAGAATTAACCTAGAGAGGATCTAGATTTGATTAATAAAACCAAAACACTCAAGATATGCAAGCTGAAAACATCATGTATACAATGAGCAATGGAAAACCGAGAAGAAACTTTGTGAACAATTTCAACACAAATCTCCTTATATGGCTTTTTCTTTTAGTAATTAGGTTTAACAATTTTTTTTAATCACTTTGTTTTTGCATTTTCTTTGTATTTTTGTTTTATATATATATATATATATATATATATATAATTAATATTTTTATAATTATATTTTGTTTTCAATAATTAAACTAATGCCATTTAAGAAGGATATTATCGAAATTTTGTGAATCAATATTGTTTGGTTATTAGGTAGATTAAATTTTAGATTATTAATATTAAGTATGAAAATATAATTTATGATATTTCATTTTATATATAGATACTACTTTTGATCCTTATAGTATATATCAGCGTGTTTATGATGAGTTGGATCCTTGCTTGATATCTAAATGAAGGCTTTTTACTTTCATCTCTGGTTGTTACTTGTTATTGAAGTTGTGACTTCCGTAAGCAATTTTCTTTGATATAATAACATTGTGCGGAATATGAACAGCTAGGTTGGCCTATCACTAAATAGTGAAATATATAGTATACACAGTTTAGTTACTTTCATCTCTGGTTGTTACTTGTTATTAATATTAATTCTTCTGTTGGAATAAGTTTCTAGCAAAAACGTTCTCCCAAAACCATGAATACGCAATATGTAATTGGGACCAGAACCATTTGTCCTTTTTCAAATTATTACCTGAACTTTCTATGCAGTGTGCAGGGCATCTACATGTATTGACTGAAGAGCCATGCGACGACATTATTGAACATGTCAACCACAATTTGCCTTAAAAGGAATAGAAACACTGAAACAGCCAGCACTGCAATATCATTCGTGTGTTCTCCCAAAACGCCAACAGATGGACTAGCAAGTGACAAATTACCCAAACCTGTAACTAAATACAGCCTAGTTTCTTGTATGTATTCGTATGTATGGTAAATTACGATTTCATTATCTTTTGTAAAAGGGGTTCATATTCAATATTCTACCATGTTTTTGAGTAAAATTGCCTTTTGTAAAACTTATTTACGAGAAATATACAAAATAAAAAAGGATCATTTACTATTTATTACCATACCACACGTCCTTCCCACACTTTATAACCTAATAAACTAAGCGTTTGAGTTCATTAGTTTCTTTATCAGCAGACACCAGACAGCAGCTTTTCGAACCTTGTTTGGGTACCGCGGTTAAACATTTCATAAATGTTTGGAAAGAGAAAAGTCATTTGGGCAAGTAGCAGGAGGCCAGTGTAACTACTAACTACATTAATTTGTGTATCTTTTCTTGCAGTGGTAGGCCACATCTCAAATTAACACCACCCAACTTAAGGATGCTTTCTTTGCCTTTTATTTTTTATTATTTAAATTTATTTTGCATTGATTGGTGCACCAGCCCAAAGATATTACGTTTCAAAGTTTTTTTTTTTTTAAATCTCTCTCTTCATTTCATCAACCATCTTATCGGCCTTCTTTATTTTCTTCCTATTTCTTTAATGTATAAAAAAGTATATATAATTAAGAATAAATACATTAAATGCTCTTAAATTTAAAAAAGAAATTAGGTTGATTGTCGATATATTGTTACATGAGAATGAATATATTGAATATATAAGAGAACATCATGATCAAGAACGCAATTTGTTAAGATGTGGAATACAAGCTTTAACATTATAGAACTAATTTGAATAGTGTTTATAGATGTAATTGCTGGTGACTTCAAGTTAAACATAGATTCCACAAACTTACAAATATACATATTCAATAATGACAAGCATAATATAGATTGTCTCAAACCTTATCCCAACCAAAAAGTGGCCATTCTTAGTTTTCTAATAAACCCACCAAAGAGTGAATTATATAATCAAGTTTAAAATTTAAAAGATCTCATGCACGAAAGCGATTCTAACCCCCAAGCAACAATTATACCAATTTTTACTTTATTTATTTATGGGTTTTTGACTTGAAATAGAGTACAGGCCTATTGTACAGCCAACATGGCTGCTGAGGCAAATTCAAGAACTGTGGACCACAGTAAAAGCAATGCCATCCTAACATTTTCATTCCACAATTTCCCTTTTAAACAGTGTTTAAAACTAGACATTTCTTTTTACGAGTGTTTAAAACTAAATTACCTATTAACTATATTGAATTAAAAGTAGTTTATTTAAATTAAATTAAACTATAGAATAGATAAAAAAAATTAAACTAAACTAATTTTTAATTTAATGAACTATAGTTCTACAAGTTCAAATACATTATTTAAACTGAATTAACCTTTTTTTTACAATAAATTTAACTAAATTATATTATAAAAAATATTATTTTTATTTCAAATCCATTCTTATTCTCAAACTTATACTAATAAACTAAAATGTATCCAACATCAATTTCATTTGAAAAAACTAAAATCTTTCAAGTAATAAGTAAACTAAAATTTCTTGTCAAAAATTACTTACTAAAAATTAAAGTAAAATAGTTCAAATTCACATAAGTAATAATTTTGGAATCACTAATTGATGTTTTATCTATTGAACTATACTTTATAATAAATTAAAAAATTTTGTATTTTAAATCAATTTTTTTTCTTGTGATTTGAGTTGAATGGAATTAATTTTTGTAGTAATTTAGTTTTTAAATCAAACATAAATTTAATTTAATTTTTATAAAAAAAATAATTGAGTATTTTTTATAGTTTAGTTCAATTTACTTTTCTAGTAGTTTAGCTTGAAATAGTTTTTGAATAGTCCAATCAATTGGTAAGAAATTTATTTATACTCAATTAATTCTCTCGAGTTTGAGTTATATATAAATATGTAGTTGTATTAAATATTTAGAGGGAAAAACATGTGAACTCCAAAAAAATATTATTTTTCCTTTATATTTAACTAAAAATAGTAAAACAATAATAAAGATGAATCATACACAAACAAGAAAAATTAAAACAAAAAAACATAATTTAAAATTTTTGTAATAATTTTTTTAAAGTGTTAAATAATTTGATTTATAATCAATGTGTTTAAAAAATGTTTAATTTTAGTATATTATGTATAAAGTCAAATCAATAAAAAAATCATTGTAAATATAATTTTTCAAATAATTACTAAAAATAATATTTTAATTATTCATGTTAATATATAATTGGGTTACAGAATTTAAAAAAAAAAATATTTAAAATATGTAGTCTTATTTATAATAAAAATCATTATTTGTGTAGATTGAATACAACAATTATGCAAAAGTTATTATAACTTTTAAAATTTTTTTATTTATAACTATAGTGCACCAAACTGCTTTCTTCATAGAAGTTTAGTTTTTTTTAACTGAACTTAAAATATAATTTAGTTTAACTTTTATAAAAAATAGTTAATTTTTTTTTATAATTTAGTTTAGTTTAGTTTTTAAAATATATTTTAGTTCAAAATAATTTTCTGAATATACCCTTATTCTTCGTTGACTTAAAACTGATTAATAATCTCCTTTTTCCACAAAGCGCGTATCTTGGCTTCCTCTAGGGTTTTTAGTTTTCACAATACCCCGCAGGAGTATCGCTAATAAACGCCTTAAGAGTAATGTTATATTTATGAGTGATATATATATAGGGATTTAGCAATCTGAGTAATATATTTTTCTACAATATTCTCTCATTAACTTTTTTTTTTTATATTTTTAATTTAGACTGCATACATCAAATATTGAATGAAAAAGTAATAAATATGTTTAATATCTTAGAATAATAAGCATTCAATGTATTTGTTCATTTAATAAAAAAGAGATTTAGTCATAAAATGAAGCTCTATCTATACACATGTGCAATTATGGTTAATTTGTAACGATTGTTTCAAAGACAAGAACGTTATAATGGAGAAGAAATTAGTTCAAGTCTAGAAGTCGACATTAGAAAAACTTGAAGAAAGTTTCTCCAAGTTACAGCACAATAATAAAAGGTATAGGCAAAGATTAAGATAGATATGGAGAGAAATCGAGAGTTTTATTATGTTTATATATATCAAGGACACAGATGGAACTACATTCGCATTCATTAGGGAAAGTCAATGCCCGAACCTAATATCATTCCTAGATGATGGATGAAGTAAGTTTCTGGTAGCTAAGGTGCCTAATAAGTTCTAACATTAGACCTAAGATACTTCAAGGTGCGATAATTGACTTGTTTCCCTTGAACTGAACACTTCAGTATGGACCACTTCCTTGCCTATCTGTCATCTTTCTCTATTTTTTTTATCTGCATGCAATACAAGAAAAATTAAAATTAGTGATGAAAAAAATTATATATACGTAACATTTAATTTAGTATAGATCGAAGGTCATCTATTTGCTTACTATTTGAGGGAACAGCACCTAATTAGGTGCTGCGGCACCCGTCACTGCAGCAGTGATTCGATCAACAGTGCACTTAATCAAATTGCTAACAGTGGTGACCGAACCAATAGACAGTTTTGCAGTTGGAGCCGAATCAACCAATATCTGAAATGCAACTGTCAGAAGACAGCCTCCAGACCCAGTCTCAATTATGGGCCCTGGCCCGTTTTTCATTCCAGACCCATCAGGGAGAACAGCAAAGCCCGAAGGGAGCAGGGCAACATAATCTGGATTGCCACCACCCAGCACAAGATTCATGGCAACTATATCAACAGGAGCATACACTACATATGATCCTGCAGCATCACTCCAACACTCTTGAAGTATGATCATGTTGCTTTGGGTGGTATTCGAACTCTACAATTTGCATTCACCAAACACCATTTTAATTAGGTTTTAATGATATATATACATAAACATGTGCCAATTGTACCTATTTAGCATGCTAACACAAACAACTTACATTCACACGAAGTAAAGAGACAGAGTTTCCAGGATCACGACCATTTCCTATGTGTGCTACTTCTTCAACAATAGCCCCATTCGAGAGAATGTCCCACTGTAAATTCAATAACATTATGCAAATTCGAAGAATGAGCAATAACTACCGATTAAGCTTCCATCCAAGGCCAAGCAAGGATCAATAATTATAATAAGGAAATGTTAATATATTCTTTAACACACTCTAAATCTAATTAAAATACCCCTCAATTTCTCAGAAAGAATTACCCGATTTCTCGCTTTTTCATCTCGAAGAAAATGAAAAACCCTCGTTGGAGGGACTGGGAGCCACAAAGAAGTTGCAGCACTGAGCACAATACCGGGAGGCCTGCCAGGATCATTCACACTCTTTCGGGTCATGACCCTCAAATCTTCACCACCAATTGTTAGTGGTGTCCAAACATGTGCGGTAGAAGCGCCAACACCATTACAAAAGCTCAACATCATCCTTTCAGCTAGATTCAGCATACTTTTCCTTCCTATAACGACTCAAAGTCATAATAATTAACTCACTTATTCTTGTAATTGAGTGTAATTAAGGATTTCTAGCTTTTTAACATAATCTTAAAAATGAATGGAACAACAATAGAAGAAATTAAGATCACGAAATGTGAAATATTTACCACAAAGATCCCCTGCTGGTATGTTGGTGGCGTTTACACTAGCAAAACGTTCGCATTGCCTATCTAATGATGCCACCCACCGAGTAGCTCCAAAGGCAAGGCAAGAATTAACAAAGTGTTTGTAAAGGTCATGCACTTCTCTACCATCTACTTCAACATGTTCAACCCAGATAACCTGAAGAAAACAATTGATAGGGGTTAGTTGCAATAAAGTTTTCTCGATTACAGAAGTTTATAAATGAAATATGACCTTAGAATATCCATTTGGCAATTCTTGAATTATGCAACCAGAAGGTCGCCTTTGGCATCCTCTGACAGCACCAGGTCGCAGATGATCCAATGATAAATCCACAACAACCCATGATTCATCCGAGTGCTTCTTACAGTACCTCACGAAATAGTGTTCGCGGGTAGGAACAAGAGGTGTAGGGACCTGGAACTCAGCTGCCATCTGAAACAACAAATTAAATTATAAATTTTAAGATATGACATTATTTTTCTCACGTTTAATCAAATTAATAAAACTTTGCATGCGTACCACTTGCAAGGCTCCATTGTAACTTCCGGCAATTCCAGTTGACAGAACTTCGAGTGTCACTGCTCTTGTAACGATGCCGCAAAACACGTTTGCCCATTGATCCTGAAAATCATATCATCAATATAGGTTAATGCATGTGCTTCTGAAAATTGTTCATTATATATGTATTTGTGGGTTCTATATATTTAAACTTCTTACCTTTGTGAAATCACTGTCATAACTTCAAAATAACATTTTTATTTTGACATAGTAATTGTATTATTTACTAATAAATACTATAAAAAAGTTAAAGGCTCACAATAAAGGTTAATTGTATTAAAACTTAAAAGACACTAAAAAATAAATTAGTAAAATATAAAAATAATTATACTTTATTTAATATATATGCTGTCATTTTCAATAATTAATCTTTGAAAAACATTGTAAAATTTACCTATAAATCTATTTTACTTAATATATTACATCAATAATGTCTTACCTTCCATATAAATGGATAAAATGAAGATAGATAAAAAACACAAACGAAAGTGAAAAACATAATAGATAGAGAGATATAAAATAAGTATGAATGAGTTTAGAAAATTAAAAACCATACTTTTACTGATGTTCCCATAATACAATTAGGAACGACAGTAACACTTACCACATCCATAAGCATCTCAACTATTCTAGCATGACTCATGATGACAACCGCGGATTGCCTTGAAGCTTCGGTTTTGAAGCCCAAATTTTGACCTATTGCCCTAGGGAAAGTCCTCTGGTATTCTTCTTCATTAAGAATCTCAGTGCCGTAGCTTCCAGCGACCCATAAAGGTTCTGCAGACAGAGCCAACCTTGTAACTTCATCCATAGCCATGAGAGCAAGCTCAACAATCATGAGTTTGTCAGCATCAGTAGGAAGTGGAAATGCCCTAAAAGGGTCATTGCCATCATACATTTCTCCCACCATGCCTGGCTGTGCTCCATAGTTACCACCAACTCCCAGATCAAGCGAGCGCGAAGGCATGTTATAGTAAGAACCCGGGGATTTTGGAGAAAACTTGGTCGCAATTGCAGAAACCCTATCGATCTGAAACATTAAAGTAAAGAAGAGAAAGAGATGGATCAAAAAATATGTTATAAATAATGAGATAAAGCTAATTGTTGTAATAAACAAACATGTTTAGTGGTTTAATTACTTCTTCTCTTAATCGCGCATTTTCGAGCCTCAATTCCTGCTCGTCAAAGGACATTTCACCAACAGCAGCTGGGCCTCCACAGGTAGGGCATGTAGCATTTCTTAGTAACTCCTTGTACCTAATGTTATCTGCTCGAAGCTTTTCATTCTCAGACTTCAGAAGATTGTTCTCATGGCGTTCATGTTGAGTCTGTATACATGATCAAAGAATATTATTAGATAATGATGCAACATGTATTCGATATGTTTAATTAAGACAAGCCAAGTTAGTGTTAGTGACATATCAAGGATTTCGTACGGGCAGATAGAGAAGGATAAATGCTCACTCTAAAATGGAGTCGAATTGGGGGTGAAAAGAAAAATGAAAAAAATTGAATACTCACAGTCAAATGCATGTTTTATGTCTGAGACAGATCTGAGTTAGTACCATCTTTAGGTAACCGTTTTGCTTAATTTGTTGACAGAAAATATGCTTAAAAAATTGCCTTTAAAAAACTAGATCATTCTCATTTGTGTTTTACTTAATTAAAAATAATACTTTATACTAAAGTATTGGTTTTTAATTGAATAATGTGTAACATCAATCCCATTTTGGGAGATGAGGTGGATCAAAGAGATAGAAAGAGAAAAGAAAAAAAATACTTTATTAAAAGAAATATAAAGTATTGTTGTTTTAATTGAAGACCGCGTAACATCTACCCGATTTTGGATAAATCCGGTGAATGCAAGAAAGAAAGGAAGGAAAAAAAAAAAAAACTTCATTAAAAAAAATACTTTTTTTGTTAAAGTATTGTTTTTTAATGGAATAATGATGAGAAAGCTCTACCCAATTTTGAAGTGAATAAAAGAGAAAGTGATACGTGTAATAAATTAATACGATGAAAGATAAAAAAGAAAGTGATACATGTAATAAATAAATTAATATGATAAAAGTATTAAAAAAAAAGTTTGAAGAAGGAGGAGAGAGAAAGTAAGTAAAGGATTTTTTATTTTTTATTTTTTTTAATTAGAAGAAGTAGGAAAGAGACGAATAAAGGTAATTATCCTTGGAAATGCAAAAGTCAAAGTGTTGTTTGTGTAACGTTGTCTCCTTTACCTTCACTTGAGTGCGTTTGTTTTGGAACCAGAACTTGATTTGCATAGGCTCCAGCCCAAGCTCTTGGCTCAGCTCTTTCCTCTGTTTGTCATCTGGGTGAGGGCATTCCTTGAAGAATCTGACAAGACCAAAGAGTTGGAGAAATTAATTAAGAAAATGAATTAATTAGATTAAAAAAAAAAAAGTGAATTGGAACATTGATCCTTACGATTCCATTTCTTGAATTTGATGTTGTGTGTGGCGATGATAACGCTTCCTCCTTGCTGCTTGGTCGAGATCTTGGTCGTCACCGGAAGGGGGAGCTTCCATTGTATCGATATCATTCGATATATCATCTCTGTTCCTTCCCAAAGGATCATTCTCCGAGGATGTCATGTTCAGCAACCCTTGCTGAGGATTGAAAGCATTCTGACTGTGATACATTGTCAAATCCTTGACCACGTTCTTATTCTTCAATCTGCATGCCAACATACAAAGTCAAAAATAGTCAACAATTATACAAGAGAGTAGGACCGACAAAAAAATGTTTATTTTTATTTTAACAATAAAAAACACACCATGCAGCCATGGTCTCTCATTCATGAGTGGTATCGGGAAAGACTAAAAAAAGAAAAAGTGGTTTGACAAAAAGCCTTTCTCACGAAAAAGCCAAGAAGCTTTCTTTTGGAAAACCATTTATTTTGCAAAATTGAGGTGAAAAAAAAAACCCTTTTATAATTGTCAACTAAATCATTGAGAACCAACCATTGATGTGTGTTCTCTGAGCAAAAATTTGGATAGAGAAATTAATAGAAAAATGTTCCAAATACAAAATGCTGTATTAAGGAAGAAATTAAAGGGCTTTGCCCAAAATCTTTTAAATAGTGTGAGGAATAATGTAAAAAATGTCAGTACAATAATGTACTTTATGTTATATTAAGAGAAAAAAAGGGTAAGAAATTAAAGAGAGGAAGAGGTCACCTAATCTTGATCAACCTTAGATGAGAGATAGAGGCATCTGTTTTCCGACCACACTTGAAAGCCTCTATCTGTGGTGAAGTTATGTGCTCTCTTCCTTCGTTTTATAGCTCTTGAGCTTTAGGTGTGGTTTCTAAATTGCCCTGAAATTCCTGCTCAAAGTGTGGCTTTGAAGAAAGAGTTGGTTTCAAAACCCTCTGTATCTGCCGAAGAACCATGAGCGAAGTTAATAAGGTTCTTTAAGGCTAGATAGTGGACATTGATGACTCTTGATTTGTGTTTATCGTGATACACTCTCTTATATGCAAAAAAACAATGTTTTAGAGGAGAGTTATGGAGAATTCAGAAAAGACAACCGAGAAAAGGGTGCAAGGTTGACAATGGCAAGAAAAACCAAAAAGGATTGAACGCACACTGAGATAGTGGGATGGAGGTGAGTGCATTGAACCGATGTCACACTCTCTCTCATACTCTGACGCCAAGTAACCGAAACATGGATTAATTATAATCAAGTCAAAAGCTGAGATATACATATACGTTAGCGAAGAAAAATAGGGAAAGCATAGAAAAAGGTAACTTGCAGGGTTCTAATGTTGTGGGGCTGCGGAGAAACCTATGCTATGGGTAAGACTTGTTTTAGGACACTAAGGGAGGAACTAAAGGGTGGGGCAAAAAATGAAAAAAAATAAAAATTTGGGGTGAAGATGATCAGATGAAGGAGAAGAGAGAAGAAGATGGTGTGTAGTTATTGCAGAGCGTAAAGAGCGGGTGTAACTGCATTAATGGAGAGACCAATGATATAAATGCTTAATGTAGAGGGAGAATAATGCAATTTCTTTTTTGTCTTCCTGACTTAATGACAATGTTTTCTCTCAAATTAATCTAATTTGATTTGAAAAAAAGTAAAGTCTGATAAAAATTATTTTAATTAAAAGTTAAATTTAAACATTGTCCGAATAATTTATCATTAAATTCATTAAAATTTAATTATACTTTTAGTATATCAAATTTGATGTATATATTATTATTATTTTGTTCTTAAAATTTAAATTTTTTATTTTTAGTTTTTAAAATATTAAAAATTTTATTTTAATCTTTTAAATTTTAAATTTATTATTTTGGTTTTCAATTTTAAAAAATATGATTTTAATCTTTATATTTTTGTTCTTCAAATTTAAAATGTGTATTTTTAATTTTTAAAATATAAAAATTATTATTTTCATCTCTATACTCAAATAGCGTTAGTAAATTTATCGCACAAAATTATTTTACTTATATTATTATCAGTAAAAATATCATAATAAACTTGTCTCAATTTTTCATTATCATTTATAATATTAGTAGTTATGAGAGATTAAAATAATATATTTTTTAAAAAAAATTATAGAGATTAAAAGGATAAACTTCAAATTTGAGATTAAAATAATAATTTTTATATTTTGGAGACTAAAAATATATTTTAAATTTGAGAGACAAAAAAAATACATACAAGTACTAAAACAATATTTTTTTAAAAAAATATAGAAATTAAAATATAAAATTTAAATTTAGAGGAAAAAAAATAATTATCCTAAAATTAAGGGACTAAATCATAATTAAACCTATAATAAAATAACATAAAAGAATATGTAAATATAATTTTAAATCTTTAATAAAAAAAATATTTTTAATTTCTTAAAAGTTATATCTAGACACTAGTACCTTTTTTTTCTTCTTTGATAACCAGTAACTGGAGTAAAAGTATCTCTCTTCTATATATATCAAACAATAAAGAAAATAAAGAAATTATATATAATAATTGGACTTTCAATTAAACATTTATTTTTTTTTTAAATATATACAATTTATCAATATATTCATACTGTAGATAAGACAAATCTTTTATGTAAAATCATGTGATAAATAAATAATGTACTTGAATTTATTAAATTGTGATTATACATGTAATGAATAATACCAAAGAACGATTCAAAAACTTATAAGTCATACTGTAGAGCCAAATTTCTAATGACTTAGGACAAATAAATTGGGATTTTAGGATATGAAGTACAGATGAAAATCAAATATAAAAATTAAATTGTTAGTTTATAAGAAAACTAATGTTGTTTAAATATAAATTCAAATGATTATTAAATTTAGTAAATAAACATATACTTTATATTTTGGAAAGTAAAACACCTATTTGTAAATGCATGTCTCACTTCTAATTTCACGCATATTTAAAAAATATATTTATTTAAAAAATCAAAGTTTTATACTTTAATCAACATAATTAATAGTTAAATTTCTCTAAGATTTTTAAGATTACAAAGAGAATGAGACATTCAAGCATATAAAATATATTTGATTATAATATCACATATTTTTGCAAATATATATTGTGAAATGATAAAATAACTATTTGTAAATAAAATAATTTTTATTAATTTTTTATATTTAAATTTTAATCTGTGACATCCATAAAACATATTTTTTTGTTATACAAATATAATTATTAATTAAAGAGACATTAAGTTTATATTTAAAAAATATCAATTTAAATAATTTTTCAAATTTAATATTAAAGAGATATTATGTAATTTAAAAAAATATATGATTTTAATATTTGTATATATGTTTCTTGTCCTTCAAATTTAAAATATGTATTTTTAGTTCTTCAAATATAAAATTATTGTTTTTATTTCTCTACTCAAATATTGTTAATAAATATGTCGCACAAAATTATTTTATCAATGTTATTATTAGTGAAAATATCATAATAAATCAATTGATATTATAAGATTGTCTTAATTTGTCATTGTTATTTATGATATTAATTTTTATTATGAAGGACTAAAACAACATATATATTTTTTAAATTATAGATACTAAAAAAGGTAAATTTAAATATGAGAGATTAAAATAATAATTTTTATATTTTAGAGATTAAAAATATATTTTAAATTTGAGAGACAAAAAAAATACATACAAATACTAAAATAATATTTTTTAAAAAAAAATTATAAGAATTAAAACACAAATTTTAAATTTAGAGGATAAAAAATAACTATCCTAAATTTAAAAGATTAAAACATAATTAAACCTACAATAAATAACATAAAAATATGTAAATATGTTTTTAAATATTTAATAAAACTTTCTATTTTTCATTTCTTAAAAACTATATGTAGATACTATTTAGTACCTTTTTTTTCCTTTAATATTATTTGTATGGTGTGGGTAACTCTACACGGTATTTGCATTGCTGGGGAGTGGGGTTTGCCAAGTAATTTCCTGATTTTTGTTTGTGTAAACGTTTTTCTTAAGTCAGATTATTTGTAAAATATGATATATAGTCAATAACTGGTTAACTTAGCTGTCAAAAAGGAAAAAAAATAACTGGTCAAATTAAATAATTAATGACAAGTAATTATTTTTATTTGATAATATTTTTTAATGAAAGGTTTTAAAAATAACCATTATTTAATATAAAGTTTTCTTTTTAAATTTTTTTTTTGGAAGAGAAATACCAATAATATATTTTTGATTAAATTGTACTTTTGGTCTCTCTATAATATTAAATCTACAAATTTTGTCTTCAATTTTTAAATTCACAAGTTCCAATTCCTTGATTTTTTAAAATATACAATTTTAATCCCCTTACTATATGTACATTCGTTAACGGTTAAAAGTATAACATTTGTTATGATCTAACGTTAGATAGATGACATGATAAGTAGTATTTAATAATATTCACATTAAAATATATTTTTAGTTCTCATTTTCATCATTTTACTATTTTTATGTAATAAAACTAAAAATAAAAGTTAAATTTAAGTTGAATATTATAAAATATTAATTGTCTTATTAATTATTTATACAACTATAGATGATGATTAATATTACAATTTTAATGATCAACGGATAAATATTTAACAAAAGAATCAAATTTTAAAATTTAATGAAATTTGAAAACTAAAATTATGAGAGAAAAATAAAGGATAAAAAAATTATAAATTTGATTTTATAAAAATATCAAAGTGTAATTTAATCCACTTTTTAACATTTTTTAACTCAAATTTATTAAAAATTATAATTTTTTTTTGTAAATATTACATTTTATTTAATGAATTTCCTTATAAATAATTTACAATAGTTTCTAATAAATTTTAACTAATAATTAACAAAAAATATATTATAAAATATTTTATTAACACTTCTTTTTTAACCATACATTTCATTTAAAATGCACTCTAATAATAATATTGGTTAAATTATAAAATTATAAAACGAGACTCAATAAATAAAAATTAAAATCTACTTTTTTATCAATTTTAATAAATTTAAATCAATAATTAGGAAAATATATTAAAAAAATTTGTGGCTAACATTTTTCTTGTTAATACGAAATTTCTCAAGAACATATATAACATGAAATTATTTTTTTTATTTATTGAAATTCTATGACAACAACATGTTTCAAACAAATAATCATACACATATTATATCAACTTTCATTGTTAGGTCAAATTTAGTGATTTTTATTAAATAAAATATATTTGGTAAAAACTTAAATCTATTTTTGATTTTTATAATTTTACGAATGAGAAAATTTATTTTTAAAATATTTTATTGTAAATTTAGTCATTTTAATTTTTAAAATTAAATAATGTTGATCTAATATTAATATTTCACCCAAAATTTATTATAATATAATGATGTATACCTTATAGTTACATATTATTAAAAAAATATTTTTACCCACATAATAAATATAATATTTATTAGTATATTATTAAAAAGTGTGTATATAAATTATAATGACATACAAAATATATTATTAAATCTTATTTAAAATTAACACTAAAATTATGTGTAGTTATATGTCAAATAGATATATACTAACATATATTGTATTTGTATATTTTTTTATATCACTATATATAATACTTTTTTATAATAATTAAATTAAAAAAATGATAACGTGTTTGCAAGTTATACTCTTTAACTGTTACTTAATCACGTTGACTTTTGATGTAAAGAACAATATTGATTTTTACAACCTATATGTTATGTTTCTTTTTTATTTTAATTAAAATTTATAATCATTTAAATAATTTTATTTCAGTTTTAATTTTAATTTTTAACAATATTTTTTTTTGTATAATTAATTGTTATGAAGTATCACTTAGAAACATATCAATTTTTTTAATTTGGAATAATATGTTAATAAAGGATCAATATTATTTAATTTTGAAAATTTAAGGAAAAAAATTTGTAATAAACTTTTTGGAAGAAAATAATTATATTTGTAGCACTAGACCAAAAGAGTGTGAGTATGTGTGTCTGTGCGCAGGGACGATGGATGCATGCTTATAAGAGTGGGGGCACTCCACTAAAATTTTACTCTTTTACAAAAAAAATTGTTAAGTAATGACACATTTTATAGAGATATGATACTTATTATTAAAAATTATATATATATTATAGATACAATATATGTTGATATATTATTAAAAGATGTAAATATAAACTATAATAATACTTTTGGAAAGTGACTATATGTAATATTTTTTGTAATAATTTTTTTTATATATAATATGTTAAAATATATTAATATTTCATTTATATATTATTTTATTGTGTAATTTCTTTCACTTTATGACAAAATTGTCTTAATTTTTTATTTTTATTATTATAATATATTTTATTTTTTGACTGAAAGATTTATTACTTTATTTATT